AACTTTTAGAGTGGAGGGCCTCATCATTACTCCATCCATATTCAGCTTAAATAAAGTAGCCTTAGGCCTCACATTTTGTGAAGAACCCGTATCCACCAAAAATCGAGATAAAACAGTGTCTAAACACTTCATAGAAACATGCAGTGCTTTGTTGTGGGCTATGCCTTCAACTAGGAGTTCATCATTACAGAAACCCAAACAATTTCCCACAACAATATTGGTGATGATTCTTTCAAACTGGGCCAGAGAGATGTCTTGGGTAACATGAGCGGAACATAAAGTCTTCAATAAGGCATTGCGGTGGGTCTCTGAACACAAATGGAGAGACAAGATGGAAATATTGAATGGCGTCTGGTTAAGTTGATCCACTACTTTGTAATCACTACGCTTGAGAATTCTCAAAAGTTGCTCAGCTTCTTGTCCCACAAAATGTTCGAGTTGACTATCCATCACTTGCTTTCCCCTGGCCTTAGCTAGAGTTTCACTGTTAGTTTCTTTAGGAGGCGGTGGTGGATGAGAAAAGATCCGACCTCTTTGAGTTATGTTACTGGTTCCTGAAATGTTGGTAACATTCTTGTCAACAACTATAGGACACTCATACTTATTTCCATGAATATAGACCACATTATACTCCCACGGAACTGCCTTCGAGTTGTTACTTGTAGGAGGAATAGGAGCTCGAATCATTGTGGGGGTAACGGGAGCTTGAGTCATTAACGGGGTAGTAGGAACCTGCATTGTTAACGAAATACTTGGGGTTGCTAAAAAGCTTCTCGGATAGTAGGGGATTTCCAGGACATCAATCTCTTCTTCTCGGAATATTTTCTCTATCTGTAGGACACGTTCATCGATGAACTGTTGGATAGCCGTCTTCAAACCAGTACACTATTCAGGTTTAAAGGAACATGTTAAGCAGAAGTCATGAAGTTCTTGTAGCACCTCTTGCTTCAACAAATGTTCTCTGATAGTTTCTAATGATATCTTAATCTCGTCAACCTTGGATACCAAAGCCCATTAAATAACTTCTTCAATAGCATTGACCGTTCCACCTTGATGAGGAGGCATGGGATTATTTTGAATATTCGGACCAACAGGGTTGAAGTTGATGGCCTTTGCATCAATGAGGTCTTGAACTTTACATTTGAATGCTCTACAATTCTCAATTATGTGGCCTAGGGAACCAAAATTAAATTCACAATGAGCATTAATTTCATACCCCCTAGGGAGAGGATTTGGCAGTGGACCAAGTTCACGTAATTGAGCCAATTGACTAGCAAGTAACTGTGGGAGAAGCTGATCGTAGGACATAGGAATGAGATTAAATCTTCTTTCAGGTGCTCTTTGTCTTTGAGGAGCTCTCGGACCTTGAGGTTGTTGATTATGTTGTTGATAAGTTGGAGCTGGTGAAAATTGTTGTTGTGGAAGATACTGTGGTTGTGGAGTGAAAGGTCGTTGTTGGGCCATCCAGTATGCTGGAGTTGTAGCAGCATATACTTGAGGAAAAAATTGGTTGGGAACAGCAGCAGGTGTAGGAAAATAAGGGAATCGAACTTGAGGAAATGCGGGAGCTCTTCCTTGGTTGATGGTGATGGCACTAGTCTCGACTTCTTTCTTCTTGACAAAACCAGAAAACAACTTTCTACTAATGCCCGCATTGTTGTTAGTATGGTTAGGAACACCTTGGATTGTTCCAACTTTAATGCAAGTCTCAACGCGTTCACCAATAATGACCATATCAGAGAAAGAAGTAGAAGTACTATTGAGCATATGTTGGATATAAGGGCCTCGTAGAGTACCCATAAATAGATCAATCAATTGACGATCAAAGAGAGGAGGTTGGACTCTTGCAGCCAGTTCACACCACCTCTGAGCGTACTCTTTGAATGACTCTTTAGATTTTTGTACCATCCCTTGGAGCTGAGTACGGCTAGGAGCCATGGCAGTATTGTAATGGTAATGTTTCAAAAAAGCGTCAGCAAGTTCTCCCCAAGCACTGACATGAGATATTTCCAATTGCATATACCAATCCAATGGTGCCCCGGTCAAGCTATCTTGAAAGAAGTGCATAAGTAACGGTTCATTTTCAGCATAGGCATCCATTTTGCGATAATAGGAACAAAGATGAGTCTCTGGGAAAGAAGTGCCTTTGTATTTGTCAAAATTCGGGACTTTAAACTTGGGAGGAATAACTACTCCAGGCACGAGGCACATTGCAACAATATTGAATCCAGAAGCCTTGATACCCTCCATGGCTCTAAGACGCTCTTCGAGAGCATGATACATTTTCGCAGTTTCGGCAACTCCGGCAGAAAGGTTCACTTAGGGTTCATCAAGATCAATAACATCATGATGATCGTCGACATCATTCCTAGGGGCGCCGATAGGATTCTCAACATTTGCATTGTCATTCCTCCCATTAGCAGAAGTGGAGGGAGCAACAGTAGTAAGCTTGACAACACTCTGATGTAGTTCTTCTTGACCCTTGATCACAGCATGAAGGGTCTCCATAAGCTGATCCATGCGAGTGCCCATGGTGTCCATATCTCGGCGGAGTGCATTCTGATTCTCTTTAAATAGATCCATCAGTCTTTGTTGGTTGCCTCTGGTACGGTAACGATGTGGAGAAGTCGTCTTTGCTGTTTACTAAAGTCTATCGGAAAAGGGACCCCAATGAGTTTTTGTTGTGAAAAATGAATGCATGGTAGTATGGATGAATGCTTTATCTTTATTTCTAAGGAGACCCAAAGACTTATGTATCTTTTAAAATTTTCCTTTTTTTGAAAAGCTACGTCAACGAGACTTGTGTTTGGATTTCCCTAGATATGAGATATCTATCTATCTATCTATCTATCTATCTATATATATATATATATATATATATATATATATATATATATATATATATATATATATATATATATATATACATGATTATATGATGTCATGGTATGCTACAGCATGAAGTCTCAGCTCAACATATTCTGGATAACTATTGTGTAGTCCGTTGCACTGGCTGAAAGTAACAGGATCAAAAGTCTGATGTCACAGGCATGGAGTCAAAGTAACCACCCATCAGATATGTACTAAGGGTTTATCACCTTCCGAACAAGGTTCTAAAGAGTTCTCGAAGTCTACGCTCTTCCTTTGGTTATTACTTACGTCCCAATTACTTGGTAATCAGTAATATTCGCAGGAAAAACTCGTCCGAGTGCAATATCGCGTGACAACTACTTCCGGATTACCCCGTTATAGTCTCTGCACTGCACCTAAAAGACCAAGATGGGTTAATGGTTCTACGGCCCTCAGCTTCTCGAGTACCCAGGTTGAACGCAACAACGTCTTCCCGATTACTCAGTAAACATCACTACTTTCAAGGGGACCTCCACTGAGTGGGGGATTTTCATGCCTCCTTCTTCGGGATTACTCCCTCAAAGTTAATATGACTATACCGCCAGTCCTAATCCTATGTGTAACCCAAGTCCGGGTATAAGACTTATCAAAAGTAATCACCAAACCCACCATCACAATGTACCCATAATATGTGAGTAGCAACAATATATGCAGTATATACAAATAAAGCAATAATAAAATAGTAAATCATAATAAAGCAAATAAATAAACACCCAAAAAGACAAATAAACAAAACTAGGAGAGACTCGCAAAAGGTCCCCAGTAGAGTCGCCAGCTGAAGCTATCGGCTGAAAACACAGAGTCGCCACCGAACTTTATTTATCCCGAAGGAAGGGGAAATATAGATAAAACCACAAGGGAATGGATAAGATGGTCTTGCAACTAAGATAAAGGGTAAGGGATTCGGTTATGCAAGAGGAAGGTATTAGCACCCCTCACATCTGTTGTACTCAACGGGATCCATTTTGTTTGTTTGTCTTTAAAGGGTGTTATTATCTACAACTATACTCGCTTAAAGGGAAAGTGAATGGTTTTTATTATTGCGTTCGTGAGGGTTTCGCGACACTTTTCCTACGCATCCAATGAAGGAATTAGAACATCGTAGTTCCTCTAGAAAATGGTTTGTTTGTTTGTGTTTTTTAGTGGGCGACGCTAACGCACACATTCTAGCAATAGGCATGGTCGGTATCGAGTTAGAACAGAGATAACATGCCCTTCATGGGAGTTTTTATTTGTTGAGTGTTTTTGCAAGTTTTAAAATAAATTCAAATAATGATTAAAGGTGTTTTTGGATTTTTGATTTGCGAATGTTAAGTTTTAATTACAAAAGAAGAAAAAGTTAAGAGGGAGACTAGAAACCTAATTGTTTGTTATGTAAAAGTAATCTAAAAGTCGACTTTGACATAAGATGACTAAAATGGGATTTAACCGCCTCACGGAGTTACCTAAGGGAAATGGTATCAAGAGGTGAAAAAGCAAATGAAACAAGAAAATTAAAATTCTAAAAGTTTTTATGGCTTTTTATCAAGTTAAACAAAAGAAAATAATATTTTTATGATTTTTTTAAAGAAATAAACTAAATTTAAAACAAATTGTAACGATTAAAGACATAAAGTTAAAAGAGAAACAAAAAAGAAAAAATGGTCCACGCAGGTGTTGAACCCGTGACCATTAGTTTAAACTCTCAAAGCTCTTACCAATGCACCAGGCTTGTTCATCTTTTACTATAACAACTTTAAAAGCCATAAAAAACCAAAACTAAAAAAATGGGTTAGGCCAAGCCCAAACCCGTATCCGGAGGAGATAACAGAGGGGGATGCAAATCTTTGGAACCCTAAATTTTGAAAAGGGGCGCCACGACGAATTGCCTTGGGAAGGAAAAAGAAAACTGATTAAATATTCCTAATTAACCTAATCAAGACCGAATTTTATCCTCATTTCTCTCAAATTCCTCTATAAACCATACACACTCTTCTGTCCATTATCTCAATTCTGTTCCTCCTCTCACCTCATCTCAATTCCTCAATTTTCACTCAAATACTTGCTAGACGCTTCATCAAAATATGATCAACAAATAATCCATTTTCACTATGTTTCAAGAAACCCGGTTTCCATGGAATGGATCTTTAGAGTTATGTTTCCCTTACAGAAAGAGGTCAGGGCAACCTCGTGGTAATTCCAACGCGGTGGTTTCCATTTCTGGCAGTGGTTTTTTTCGTCAATCTGTTCCAAGCATGATTTTCTTTGTGGCTTTGTAGATGAAACCGGAAGATAGCCTTCAAAAAGAGAGTTGAATCTCAAAGTCGAAATCAATTGGAGCAGAGATGTTGTTATTGTTGATTCGATGTTGAATCTATCAAGGATGCAAAGTTGTCGATGATGTAAACCTGTTTGTGTCTTCTGTCAGAGTTTGGGATTAACAATGAGGGAGTTGATCTTGGTGACAATCGCGTGAGTTCTGAGGAAAAAGGGGGAATACAACTGCAGATTAGAGCGTGCTGGAGGCCAGAGCTGGTCGTGAAGCCACCACAGTGAGGGAGTATCCGAATGTTGAGTTTCGACGGTTAAGATATGAGGTTGTTTATATCAGCCAATGATGGAGATATAGAGGCCGGGTGATGACGATTCAAAGGGGTTAACATCAAAAATATCCTTCATATCCAAACCCATGGTTAACCTCAACAACAGCGGCCCCTGCTTACGTTTAACAATAACAAGCATTCGACTCTCTATTCTAAATCCTCCCTTTTTGGAATCTCAAGGTTCTACCAAAAGGTAATGTCCCATTTCAGTTTAAGCTCTAAAAACAAACAACCAAAATTTCGATTCCAGTTTATGTATGCATAACCACAACAAAACTTTTTCAGATTTCTGAATTTCATGAACAACAACATCAACAAAATTATAATGCATATAAAGGCATGGCACCACATCAATTTAGGGGATTATAAGCTACTTACAAGCTCGGAGCTAGTCTGGGGGTTTTGAACTCAAATGACGCTGAAATAATAAGGAAAACCAGAGGTAATCGCTCCAGTTCGCACCTCCTTTCTTCTGCTTCTAAAATCTGATTATGGAAATTTGTTGTTGCTTCTAATACTTAATCGCAGTTTAAAGAATTTGATGCTTGGGGAAAGACTTAAAGCTTTAACTTCTTATAGTATAACATAACTATTTTCTCCCATCTTTTTATTTATCTGCCTCAATTGTTTATATGTTATATGCTTCTGTATGAGTTGTGGTGTTGTTACTGTTGGTTGTGTTGTGATTTGGTAGGTTTGTAAGTTTTGTTGCAACTTTGTAGTTCAGGGTTTTGAAAGTTTGTGAATCAAAGGTGAGGGTTCGGTTGTTGTGTCTAGTTTATGTATTGCTGCAGATGTATGTGTAAGGTTTAAGCAGGTTGATGAAAAGATAACAGCGGTTTATTTAAGGTGATGGTTTTGGTTGTGGTAGATTGAAGGAGTTGGTTGTCTAAAAATCTCTGTTTTTCTTGCTGGCTGGCCCCTCTTATAATGAAACAAGGGTGGAAAATTGGAGGGAAGATTAGTAAAATTTGAACATTGTTAGAAAGCTGACTTGTGGCCTTTTGAGTACATGTTTTTTGTCTTACTAATTTTGTGCAATGTTTAGACTGTATGATGCAAGTTTTTGGCTTGTCTTGTTTGGTGTTTGTGTAGCTGCTACTTTTGGACAGCTACAACAACATGGTTTTGGACTATTATTGTTGGGTGACATCTTTCTAAACCCTATCTCTCTTCTTCTTTTATCTTTCAATAATGAAATCCCTTTTGCTTTTTTTTGAAAAATACTGAAGGGTTTGTATCTTTGGGACATGATGATGCATAGGGCATTGTGCCTGTTTGTTAGCCTGCTGTGTTTCTATGAACTGCTATTATTTGTTCTTGTTTGATGCTGCTGCTTGTTGTTTTGTTAGGCTGCTAATGTGCTATTTTTGTTTTTATGGGTTGTTGTTCTATTTTGCTGCTTTAGTAGTTTGCGGTTTTGTTATCATGGCAGTTGTTTTTCGTTTTATGGCAGTTTTCCCGTTTTTGTTGTTTTGGCAGCTTGTTGTTTCGTATTTACTACCTGTTTAGTAGTTCTGCTACTTGTTTGTTGGAAAATCTTTACTTTTCTCCCTTTTTGTGAACCAAAGAGGACAACCCTTTTTTGTGATTTGCAATTGGGAGAAAATGGCCCATGATTAAAAATAAATCCATTTTTAACTGATTCCAAATGCAAACCCTCATGATGAGCATTTTCACTTAACCATTATTTGTTTGGAAATTTTCATATGTTAATTGCTTGCTAATTTTTCCCTTTGTCTTGTTTCATGAACACGAGAATTAGACGACCAAAGCGAAGTTAAGAGATGAAAAGGGCATGGCTATCAAAGAGTGCGGACGAGTTTCTTGAAGAGGAAGCAACAGAAAATCGAAGAAGAAACATTTAATTCCTTTTTTTTTGTTTTGTAAACAACAATTGTAACTTGTGATTTCATATTTGCAACATGCCTTGTAACTTGTCTCAAAAATGTAATGAGCACGAACTTGAATGAATTCATTAATGATGAACTTTGTTGTAGGAATAAAATATCTCTTGAATCTTGTTTGAACTTTGAAATTCTCTCTTGAATAATTTAAATGCACACTTTGACTTTGTAACTTAAACTTCAAGAAATCACGAACAAATGTTGTAACTTGTATTTCAAGCAATCATGCGCCTTATCTTCCAGACTCCAATCAAACTCTTAAACAAAATAAATGCTTAAGAATTCAATTCCCCTTTGTTAATTCGAACCCAAAATAACAGTCACTTAAACCTTAATCGTCATATCACGTCTGAACCAAACTTGCACTCTTAAACAGAACTTTAACTTTGAGACTCACATCAAAAGTAACTTGTAACTTAAGCAACCAAAACATGTCTTGACGGTCATGAACCCCCAAGCTTATTTCTTGTGCCCAAACTCCACAGTCGTCAACTTAAACTTCAAATTCTCGAATCAGTGACTTAGAGACTTTTAAGAAGAAAGCTTGAAATGAGAGGAGATGAACTCCTTGACCTAATGCACTGAACTTTGAGTTATCTTTGAGGCAGGCGAAAGATACATCTTCACAGAAACTAGGAATCCAAAAACCCCAGTATCTTGACCAATAAATAGGGAAATAAACCCTAATCTAGGCTCTGATAAATTCGAGCGAGAATCAACCTTGTAGCGTGATGACAAAATTCATTCCATAATCCACTAATCGAGAACCAAAAGAATTTCCCTTTTACCTGATAAGAGAACTTCAAAACAAAATTAGACATAAAGAGGGCGCAACCCTAATACCTCAAACCAAAGCGCCTGATTCCATGATATGCAGGATATGCAAATGACTGAGTGAAAATGGTGCAAACGGGATGCAAAGTTCAAAGCCACGCAAACATAAAAGAGGTAGGGCAAATTTTGGTTACGACAGACTTCTCCTTAAGAAACCCCTAATTTGGCAACTTTTGGCTTTTGATGATTTGAGAGTTTTCTTGATGAATCATGATAAAACCTTGATCACATGATGAATATAACTTCAAAATCTTGATGTTGACCAAAAAATTTAAGTTTGAATATGTTGACCATAATTGACTTTTTGCCCAATATAGTTGATTTTCAGTCATCTGAGCCATTGAATGAGTAAACTTGTGACGCAAAGCATGAAACTTAGTATGAGAGTTCTTGAATACATATAAGAGATCATGAAATCCACTTGAGGCCTTAGAAACCCAAACTTTATTAAAGAAAGTGAAACCCTAGTTGTTAGTCCATTGCTTAGGAAGAGACTTAGTATGATCAATTCTTGAGCAACCTTGAGCATTTGAGAATCCTAGGAGAATGTCTTGAAGAAATGGGAGGGAAAATTTTGGGCTACAACATATGCCCATGTTCAATCATCTTAAACCTGAGGAGTTAGATTGGCACATCTTCCATTCGTGTTCTGAAGGTGGAAGTGGATTGGACACTTAAGTGCCCAAAAATTTGCACTCCTATGGTTGATAATATTTCTTGAACGGGCTTAAAGATGCCATTCGGAAAGGTGATAGCGTGTCTCCGGAGATGGGCTTAAAGATTCCATCCAAGGTAACTATTGATAGAAGTATCAGAAGAGTTTACGCTTTGATTGTATCTGAAGAATGCTTTCCAGAATGAACCTTTAGGGAAGGTGCTTAAGTAGCTGCTTGTCAGCTTTAGTTTCTGAGGGAGATGCTTGTCAGAATTCAATCTCTAAGGGGAGTGTTCATCAGATTTAGTCTCTGAGGTAAATGCTCGTCATGTAGATAGTCGTCCCGTCCTGTTTCAGGAATTGATCTATAGTATGTTTTTATTGGTAAACATGTCCTGCTAGGGAATTCATACCACCTGGCCATTGATAGTTTCCCCGTTCTTTTTCGGGAGTTACTCTTTGCCTGGTTATAAATATAGTTACCTCGTCCTGTTTCAGGAGATAATCTTTGCTTGGTCGTATAGATAGTTTCCCCGTCCTGTTTCGGGAGTTAATCTTTGTCCTGCTTTATGTCGACGAACTCGTCTTGTTTCGGGAATTCATACCGCATGATCATATAGATAGTTTCTCCGTCTTGTTTTGGGAATTAATCTCTGACCTTTTTTAAAGTTGTTGATGATATCCGTCTGTTTGTAGACTTTTACCTGAACAGACAAAGTTAGTCTTTATGCAATGTCATGATGAATGTTATGTATTGTGTACTGATGTTCTCAAAGTAAATAAGAGTGTGTTATATGTGTTTCGTATGCGTATGCTATGATACTTGTAAATGATGTATGGTTGCGAGTTGTCGTTGAAGTGTATCGATAGCTTTATATAACATATTTGCCGAGAAAAATAAATATATGACTGATGTTGGGGATGAAGCATATGAATCTTCAATCTTGCTTAGAATGTCTCCGCTGGGAATTCTTGCTCTCCGTTTAAGGATACTTCACCGAGAATATTTGACTTCTGCTTCAGGATAGAAAGGTTCAGAAACATTAATCGTTCGTCGCACTACCGGGGAATTTAGTTCTTATATACAATGACTGGGGGTAAAGGACATGAGTAACAATCAGAGGTGTTGTATGACCGAGTTTTAGATATGGGTGTCACTCTTCTGGGGAGGGAAAATTGATATTTTTCCCGGTTTCAGATTATGTAGTAACTCTCTAGGGATAGTGGCATTGAGTATATTTTGTTGGAGAAGAAAGTTTTCTGGGGAATTGCAGTAATCAGAGAGATAAACACTGCTTGGGAAATTAAATTCCGTTGGGGAAATAAACCCTGCTAGGAAATAAAATCTGCTGGAGAAATATACTCTGTAGAGGAAATGAGCCCTGCTTGAGAGGAGAACTCTGTAAGGGATTGTACATTGTTGTAGGAATAAACTCAAATGGGGAATTATATTCCTATGAACTATGCTGAGGAAGTTTCTGCCATGTGTTGGGGAAATGATCAAACTCCTTTATCCGCTAAAGGGATCTGTTGGGGAGTACGGTCATGTTACTAGCT